AGATAGCGTTAATGCATAAACTCCCAGTCTTGTACTCAGATGGACTATTAGGTTTTAGACTGCGTTTGGAAAGCCGATCCAGTGATTTACTTAGAAATTAGTATATTCTTTTATCGAAAAGAATTTATCGTCATCTGCAGTATGTTCTTGCTGTAAGCCGTTAGGAAATAATGAGTAGTATCCTCTAATTAGTAGTAGTTTTAGTGACATAGTCCATAGGGAAGATGATGATCTTCTCCCATTGTGATTCACAACCTGAGAAGCCTGATGGTCACTACTTATTGGGACCAAGTTGACAGCAATGTGTTTATGTGGTGCAGAGGATTAAATACTTGGCTGTTAACCCAAAGATAGACTGTTTAACTCTACTGTGAGTGAGCCTGGTGAAAACTAGGTAACCTTTTTTGAAGAAAACAGCTTGTGAAGCATAGTTCTGCTCTGATACATGGCATTGCTCTGTTGTTGTTATGTGCCGTTATATGACTTGAAGCCTGGCCTATCCCGAGCCAGTCTCATTGATTCTGACACACCCACCCTCATTGCCCCAGTTACTGTATCAATCCCGCTCATCCGGGATCTTCCTTTCCACCATTGTCCCTCCACCCTTCCAAGCGTGATATCCTTCTCCAAGGATCAGTCCCTCCTCACCATATGCCCAAAGTATGTGAGACGGAGCTTCAAAATCCTATTCTCTAAGGAGAAACTTTGTTTCACACTCTTCAAGACAGACCTATTTTTTCCTTGATGGTCCATTCTAAAAAAAGGAGACCCAACAGATTGTGAAAATTAATGGACAATATAACTCTTACCACATGCAAGCAAAATCCTGCTGAAGATTATCCAGAAACCACTGGAGCAGTACATTGACCAAGAACTACCGGAAATACAAACTGGTTTTAGAAGAGATCATGGCACTAGAGACATTATCACCAATGTGAGATGGATCTTGGTAGAAAGCAAAGAGTACAAGAAGAATGTCTGTCTGTGTTTCACTGACCAAGCAAAGGCATTTGACTGTGGATCACAACAAACTGTGGTTAACCTTGAGGAAAATTGGGAATCCCAGAACACTTGATAGTACTTACACAAAACTTATACTTGGACAGGAAGCAGTCCTCAGAATAGAGCAGGGAAGTACTGCATGGTTCAGAATCAGGAAAGGAGTGCATTAGGGATGTGTCCTATCTCCATAACTTTTCAATCTATATACAGAACAGAGCCATTGGGAGGCTGGGCTTTAAGAGGAGGAATGTGGCATTGCCGTGAAGTAGAGTCAAGTTGTTGGAGTCTAACAGGAATTAGCAGATGGCAACTCAGTGTTCTACTTTTCTGGGTCTTTTATAAAACTCATTTCTGAAAGAAAAATCACAAAACAAAAATGAAATAAACTCATTGCTTTTGAGTCAGAACCTTCTCATAGTCAACCTTCTGGTGAGTTTTCAGAGGCTGTACATTGCACGGGAGGAGATTGTCCATCTTTTCTCTGCGGAGCAATTGGTGGATTTGAACTGCTTGTCTTTGCATTGACAATTCCTTACTCCCTAGGCCACAAGAGCACCTTACCTAGTTCATAAATTCTTTTTTTTTCCCTAACTAGTATTTGAGCATGTAACTAAAGATTTTCCTTTTTATGAGAAATTGGATTTTGCTGCCCTTTTAAAAGACATTGTTAACTGTTCCTGCTTACCATCACTTGGTTCCCATTATCTTTGTTTATTTTTGACTGTAAAAAATTTTTTTCTAAGGTTTATGAAGCATATCTGGTACAAAAATGACACTTTTGGTACATGGCAGTTTTGAAGCCATGGGATGTGGCAATGAATGAATGATAGGAAATAGAGGTCAGGGAGGAAAGCAGACAGAGTAGCTCAGCAATTCAGTCCTGGTTTTTAAAAAGTCTCACTTCACCTCCTGAAACAGGAAAGGCTCACTTAGAATTATTCTCAACGCAAGTTAAAGCTTCCAAAATTCTATGAAAAGTATCATTTTTGTCCCAGATAGAATGGTAAGGATGGTCCTAGATAGGACAGAGTTCAGATCTGTTGTTCATTGGGTCACTCTTGAGTCATACACCGTGACTAATGGCACCTAACAACAACAAACAACAGGTCATTGCTGTTGAGTCAGAGCTGACTCCTAGCTGACCTTTTGGCGGGTTTTTCAGAGCTGGAATCACACAGGAGATTGCTGCTTTTCTTTATCCTGTGGAGTACCTGGTGGATTCAGACCACCTGCCTTTGGGCTGGTGGTGCAATTCCTTACCCATTAGGCCATCAGAGCTCACTGTCATTTTTCTTCTTTCTTCTCTTTCTCTGGCTAAGACAGTGGCTTTGAGGAGGCTTTGAGTTTTTTCTGTGTCATCTAAAAGAGTGGTTTTTAACAGGTAATAAATAGTATTTTACTACATTTCTGTGTCATTTTATTGAGTTATTAATATAATCTGAACTTTGAAGAACATTGTTTTAGGTAATTGCAATAAAGAATTTGGAAGGAAGTAAATAGACTTGGTACAGCAACTTTGAGTTTTTTGAGTGTGTTTGCTTTTTAGTTAGCTTATTATGACTGATGTTAGCTGGATCTTAGCTGAAAGCAGGGAATACCAGGGGAATGTCTATCTGTGTTTCCAAAAACGATTAGAACAGCACATCAGCAGAGAACTGCCGGAAGTCCAGGCTGGGTTTAGAAGGGGTCGTGGTACTAGGGATGTTGTTGCTGATGTTAGAAGGATCTTGGCTGAAAGCAGAGAATACCAGAAGAATGTCTATCTGTGTTTCATTGATTATGCAAAGGCGTTTGACTGTGTGGATCATAACAAACTGTGGCTGACTCTGAGAAGAATGGGAATCCCAGAACATTTAATTGTGCTAATGCAAAACCTGTACTTGGACCAAGAGGCAGTAGTCAGAACAGAGCAGGGTAACACTGCATGGTTCAAAATTGGGAAGGGTGTACGCCAGGGATGCATCCTGTCTCCATACCTTTTCAACCTGTATGCAGAGCAGATTATCCGAGAGGCTGGGCTCTGTGAGGAGATTTGTGGCATCAAGATTGGTGGAAGGTCTATTAACAATCTGCGTTATGCAGATGACACAACCCTGCTTGCTGAAACTGAGGAGGACCTCATGCACTTGCTCCGAAGGGTCAAGGACTGCAGCCTTCAGTATGGACTGAGGCTCAATGTCAAGAAGACAAAGATTCTCACCACTGGACCAATTGGCAGCGTCAGGATGGATGACGAAGAGATTGAGAGTGTTCACAGCTTCAGTTTGCTCGGCTCCACAGTCAACACTCTTGGCACCAGCAGTCAGGAAATCAAAAAGCGTATCGCGATGGGAAAGTCTGCTGTTAGGGACCTCTCTAAGGTACTCAGGAGCAACAGTGTCTCTCTGGAGACTAAGGTGCGCCTGATACAGGCCATGGTATTTGCAATCGCTTGTTATGCGTCAGAGAGTTGGACAATGACTAGGGAGGACAGAAGGAGAGTGGATGCTTTTGAGCTGTGGTGCTGGAGAAGGGTACTGAATGTACCCTGGACTGCCAGGTAAACAAACAGATTGGAGAGGATTAAACCAAGCTACTCCTTGGAGGCAAGGATTCTGGGGCTTCGTCTGACATACTTTGGACATGCCAGGAGGGACGGGTCCTTGGAGAGGGACATCATGCTTGGGAGGGTTGAGGGACAACGCAGGAGGGGAAGACCCTCTATGAGATGGATTGATTCGGTGACTGGGGTAATCGGGATGGGTGTGTCAGAGGCGGTGCAGTTGGCGCAGGTTAGAGCAGGGTTTAGGGCTGTTGTGCATAGGGTCGCTATGAGTCGGAAACGACTCGACAGCACATAACAACAACAACAACAACATACTTGGACCAAGAGGCAGTCGTCAGAACAGAGCAAGGAAACACTGCATGGTTCAAAATTTGGAAAGGCGTATGCCAGGGATGTGTCCTATCTCCATACCTTTTCAACCTGTATGCAGAACAGATTATCCGAGAGTCTGGGCTCTATGAGGAGAAGTGTGGTGTCAGGATTGGTGGAAGATTTATTAACAATCTGTGTTATGCAGATGACACAACCCTGCTTGCTGAAACTGAGGAGGACCAGGAATACTTGCTGCAGAAGGTCAAGGACTGCAGCCTTCAGTATGGATTGAAGCTCAATGTTAAGAAGACAAAGAGTCTCTCCACTGGATCAATTGGCAGCATCAGGATGGATGGTGAAGAGATTGAGATTGTTAACAACTTTAGTCTGCTTGGCTCCATGGTCAACACTTGGCACCAGTAACCAGGAAATAAAAAAGCATTTTGCGATGGGAAAGTGCTGTTAGGGACCTCTCCAGGGTACTGAAGAGCAATGGTGTCACTCTGGAGACTAACATGCTTCTGATACAGGCTATGGTCTTTGCAATCATTTGTTATGCATCAGAGAGTTGGACAATGACTAAAGAGGATAGAAGGAGAATTGGTGCCTTTGAGCTGTGGTGCTGGAGAAGAGTATTGAATGTACCCTGGACTGCCAAGAAAACAAACAGATTCATCCTGGAGAGGGTTAGACCAGTCTGCTCCTTGGAGGCAAGGACTCCAAGACTTCTTCGTCTGACATACTTTGGACATGTAAGGAGGGAGAGGTCCTTGGCGAGGGATATCATGCTTGGGAGGGTAGAGGGATGGCGCAGAAAGGGAAGACCCTCTATGAGGTGGATTGATTCCGTGACTGGGGTAATCGCGATGAGTATGTCAGAGGCAGTGAGATTGGCACAGGATAGAGCAGGGTTTAGGGCTGTTGTACATAGGGTTGCTATGAGTCGCAAGCGACTTGATGGCACACAACAACGACAACAACAACATTATGACTTTAAAAATAGAGTTTAATATATGTGATGTTGAGTCTCAGCAGCTTCTTTGTTTTGTATAGTGTGTTTTTTAAGACACTGAGTGAAAAACTCATCTCAAACCATCTATCATTATGTTGTATTGAGGTGCTGTTGTGTTGATTTCACCTGATGACAACCTCAAATAGGAGTGTACGACTGCGTACAGTTTCCTCGGCTGTGTCCTTACCATAATAAATTTCCAGGTCTTTCTATACTGAAGAACCACTGAGTGCATTTGAAAGTGCTAACTCTTCTTTTGGTTACCAGCTGAGTGCTTAACCATTATATAATTGTTGCTGTTGTGTGCCGTCTCTTTGGAACCGACCCACTTTCAAATTGGAACTGATGCATAGCTGACCCTCCAGCGGGTTTTCAGAGGCAGTAAGCGCATGGGAGGAGATTGCTCATCCTTCTCCTGTGGAGCAGCTGGTGGCCTTGAACTTTGTGACTTTGGGATTGCAGCACAACTTCTTGCTACTAGGTCACCAGAGCTCCCTATATACTTTCTATAGTTTGGAAAAGATCTTGTGAAAGGAGGTGTTATGTAAATAAACTAATTTCTTCCTTAATGGCATTTTGAATTGATTTTCTTTTTTAAACAGAGACAAAGCATGGAGGACATAAGAATGGGAGGAAAGGAGGACTGTCTGGAAGTTCATTTTTCACCTGGTTCATGGTCATTGCCTTGCTGGGAGTCTGGACGTCAGTAGCCGTTGTTTGGTTTGAGCTTGTTGATTATGAAGAAGTTCTAGGTAAGAGTTTTCAAGTTTTTCTTAGTTTGAATGTGTAGTTGTAAGATAAATCATCATCCTGTCATTCATGTCATTGGGTTAGTTTAACTCAAGCAGCAGTCCAGCAAGGAGGAGATTGCACATCTCCCTGGAGCTGTTGGTGGCCTCGTGTCACTGGAGCTGTGTGGCCTTGTGGATAGCAGCACGATGACACACCAAACAGTGCTAATTTTGTTATTTTTTCCAGTGGTTCTTAGTATTATGGGAACAGAAGGTTTCTAGTGTTTCCTCATGGGGAGTAGTTTTGAAAGTTTTTAACATGACTTAAAGTACAAAACAGAAGTTTTACCAAAAGTATACATCTTGCGACTTACAATGCTCCTTTCCTCCCCCTCTTGTATTTTGTATTACTGTTGTTGGGCACTCTTGCTTTGGCTCCGACTCTAAGCCACTCTAAGCCCAGCAGGATGAAGTGCCATCCTCACCATCACTGTTTTGTGTGAGTCCATGTTTAAAGCCATCACGTCCACCTTATCAGAGGTCTTCCTATTTTTCTCTGACCCATGGCTTCATCAAGTGTTTCTTTCTTCAGTGTCTGGTCCCTGTTGATAACATGTCCACAGAATGTGAGACAGCAGCTTGCCATCTTTGCGTTCTGCCTGTTCACTGGTCATGAGCCACTGAATTTGTTTACAGGCCTAGTAGTGCATTATAAACACACAATGTGCAGAATCTTGCTTTTGAGAGTTTCTGAGCATGCTCTTCTATTGCTCTGTTGGGAATGGAGATGGCAGAAACATGTCTCGCTGTGTGGGTAAGCGGGGTATGGGGGTGCAGCATGGGGTGGGGAAGGGCATCTATTTGCTGTTCTGAGAAAGTTGCTCTGCACTGCTGACAGTGTTCTCCTTCCTTGTCCTTCTTGTCTTTCTGTTCTCATAATCCCCATAACTAGTATTCTTTACATTAAAGATTTTTGCCCCACTGTGCATGAGGCTACCATCAATTGCAAGCCGACGGGTTGGCAGGTAACAGCAACCTTCTTGGTTTTGAGTCACATTCCACTTTAATAATGAAATGAAAAGTATGGTTCCTGTCATTGGAAGCAATAATGCATGCACCCTTTCACCAGGGACCTCTGGTAGCCTAGTGTGGAAGAAGTTGTGCTGTCAGCCAAAAGGCACAAATCCAACAGCTGCTCCACGAGAGGATAGACAGTCTCTTCCTGTGCAATATATAAATTCTGAAACCTGCTGGAGGGTCAGCTCTGAGTTGATTTTGACTTGATGGCAACTAACAACAACACCATTTCACATCTCATTGCATTTGTAAATCCACTGTAAAATTTGTAAATTCCATTTGTTTGTAAATCCACTGGGCCTTCTGTGTTTGTTTTACTTGTTAGAAACTCTTCCCACCTTTTTGGGAGGAGGAAAGTAAAGTAAAACAGAACGTACTTACTTGTAATCTCTATTTTTGGTAAAGTTTTTCAGTTTTTATTACTTAAGGAAAACAGTCCCTGCATAGACTAATACAGGAGGAATTATAGTTTGGAGACAAACCTCATAGTAGATGTGTGCTTTTATTTACCGTGGTATGTTCTAGGACAGCACTATTAATCAGAAGAAGATTTTTCAAATATTTATATACTTAAACACAAGTAACAGTTCTCATGTTTTTATATGCATGCAGCCAAAGCAAAGGACTTCCGTTATAATTTATCAGAGGTGCTTCAAGGTAGGCGCTGGGAGATGCTTTCTAAATATGCTTACATTAAGTCCCTAAAACCTCATCTCTAGTCTTTCCACGAATTTAGTTACCATCTACTTCAGAGAATAGGGCCAATTAGGCCTTATAAGTTTGTGAGGTAGTAAAATTTTTTAAATTTCATTTTCTCATTATTTATTTATTTTTTTACCAGCAGAAAAATACTTTTCGTGTGTGTGTGTATAAAAGCTGCTTTATTTCACTTTATTTTATGAATGTTTGTGGGGGAGCATATGTATGTTTTCTAAATCAGTCTTAAAATATCAAGTCAGTTGTTTTTTTGAGTTGTGCACGGGCTTTGCTACGCTAAAAATTGGACAGAACTGCTCCTCTCCAGCATTTTTATTTGTACTTAAGTCATCTTTTAATTTACTTTTAGAAAGCAATGGTTACTATGCTGCTGACTGTTTTGTATTTGTTAATGCTCTTTAATATACTGCCTTAAATGATTTTTTTCCACAGGATTGTCTGGTGATAAAAGATAAACAGTATTGATTTTAAGAATTGAGTGTATTTGTCTCATTTTTATAACTCTAAATGCGCAATCCAGCATCATAGCCTTAAAACGTAGTGTCTGCTATTTTTTAAGTTATGGTAATGCTGCTTTATTTAGCATATTCTTTTTAAATCCTGTTTCTCCCTCCCCTTCTCTCCAAGCTTTAGTAAATCAAGGCCAGTGCTATTAAAATTGTGTATAGGATAACGACAGATTTTCCTTTGTAATTTCAGAAGCCTTCAGTTTTGAATACTTTATTACTTTTCATGCTTGATTCCTGATGCATCTGTTATAAATCATTCCAACCAAATAAAAAAAATAAACTGTTCTCTTATTTTTTTTTATATTTTGTGCTGTTTTATTTCCAATTAGTTGGAAGCTTGATGGGTGTTCTTTTTGTTTTGGATTTTGAAGCATTTTCATATATTAGAAACATTAGATTTTATGTAATTGTTAGCAGCTGTGTTGTTGTTGTTATGTGCCGTCGAGTTGTTTCCGACTAATAGCGACCCTATGCACAACAGCCCTAAACCCTGCTCTGTCCTGCGCCAAACGCACCGCCTCTGACACACCCATCCCGATTACCCCAGTCACCGAATCAATCCATCTCATAGAGGGTCTTCCCCTCCTGCG